CTTTCCTCTTCCCAATTTAATCTTCCCCCTCCCTCTTGCTTTCTCAGTTGACCTCCCAAATAAAGGATTGCCTATCCCACCTGAGGCCTTATCTCAGGCTCTACTCTGGGGGTAATCAAACTGAATGCTCCCAGTGTCCTTGTTCCTAGGGAAGCCCAGTTGATTGGGCAGATGCCTTCCCCTTCCCCCTACCCTACTGATCTGCAGGCCCCTCTAAAATCTCATTTCCAGTCTGCCCGATGTCAAGAAGAAAGTGTTTCTTTTCTCTATGTGTCCTCCCTTCCCTCCCTCCCTATCTGGGCACAGCTCAGTAATTGGCTTCATGGTTACATTTTGACTTCTTAACCACGCTATCAGCCCCTTTACCTTCATGCATATCTTGTTTACACCAGGACACTATTACCACCATGCCTTCCACTGAAAAACTGGCATTGATAGCCCCATGAAAGCCCAAAGAATAGAAGATTTGAACAGGGTCCAAAGCAAAAGATAGGCGAAGGTAGGCTAGGAGGTAGGAAAAAGGGTCTCAGCAGAGGCTGAAGATGGCAGTTAGGAAAGTGAGTTGTCACCTTCTCTGTGGAGAACATAAGTACTATAAAAGGGGCTGGAAGGACTGCAGTGAGAGATGGGCAAGTGGGGTAGGTGAGGGCAGGTCCAGGGTCAGGCTTCAGCAGACTGCTTCACTCCCCTCCACAGCCAGGACACCTTATCTGCATCCCTTCAGCTTTTCCTGTTTCCTAGGGAGGCGGGCTCCCACATGCCTGGGCCTGTTAGTGATGGGAAGCAGTAGGGTGAAGGAGGGGCCTTAGGAAAGGTTCAGGATGAGTACCATCTTGTCCCTCTGCATTCTTGCCTCACCCTCTGCAAATGTGACAGGAACAGGCACCTCACACACTGCTGCTTCACCTTTCAGCGTCCCTAGGCCCCCAACTCTGCCTGTTCCCAGCTGGGTAAGTAGATCTGCCCATGCCCTGGTAGTCTCACTATCCACCTTTGCCCTGAAGTATACAAGGGCTGGGGCTGAACAAAGTAGGGCCAGGCCAGAGAGGGGTGGAAGTGGAGATGGTGACCGTTTGGTCTGAGGACTGGGTGGGGATGGTATCACTGGGCTTTGGGAAGGTGACAGGAGTGGAGGAGGTCAGCTGACATTCAGGAAGCAAGGGATCTAGACTCAAAAGAATGGAGTTCTAAGTTGTGGCCTTGCGTCCTGGAGGAAGCATGCTGCAGGGGAAGTGGTGAGTGGGTCCGCTCTCACCTAACATTGGAGGTAATGTGGGCATCTGTCTCAACCCTGAATTGCCCTCTTTAATCCTTTCCAGCCCCGCTGAGGAGAGAAGGATGTCCGTCTGCTACCGTCCTCCGGGGAACGAGACTCTGCTGAGCTGGAAGGCCTCGAGGGTCACGGGCACCGCCTTCCTGCTGCTGGCGGCGCTGCTGGGACTGCCGGGCAACTGCTTCGTGGTGTGGAGCTTGGCGGGCTGGCGGCCCGCGCGAGGGCGACCCCTGGCGGCCACACTGGTACTGCACCTGGCGCTGGCCGACGGCGCCGTGCTGCTGCTCACGCCGGTCTTCGTGGCTTTTCTGATGGGGCAGGCCTGGCCGCTGGGTCTGGCGGGCTGCAAGGCGGTGTACTACGCGTGCGCCATCAGCATGTACGCCAGCGTGCTGCTCACCAGCCTGCTCAGCCTGCAGCGCTGCCTGGCGGTCACCCGGCCCTTCCTGGCGCCCCGGCTGCGCAGCCAGGCCCTGGCCCGCCTCCTGCTCTCGGCAGTCTGGTCGGCCGCTTTCTTGCTCGCGGTCCCAGCAGCCGTCTACCGCCACCTCTGGGGCGACCGCGTGTGCCAGCTGTGCCACCCGTCGCCGGCGCACGCCGCCGCCCACCTGGGCCTGGAGACGCTGACTGCCTTCGTCCTTCCCTTCGGGCTGGTGCTCGGCTGCTACGGCGCCACCCTGGCGCGGCTGCGGAGCGCGCGCTTGGGCTCCGGGCGGCGGCGCACGCGGGCGGGGCGGGTGGTGGGCGCCATCGTGCTGGCCTTCGGCCTGCTCTGGGCCCCCTACCACGCCGTCAATCTGGTGCAGGCGGTGGCAGCCCTGGCTCCGCCGGAAGGGGCCTTGGCCATGCTTGGCGGCGCAGGCCAGGCGGCGCGGGCCGGAACCACCGCTTTGGCTTTCTTCAGCTCCAGCGTCAACCCCGTGCTGTACGTCTTTACCGCCGGAGATCTGCTGCCCCGGGCTGGACCCCGCTTTCTCACGCGGCTCTTTGAGGGCTCCGGGGAGGCTCGAGGGAGCAGCCGCTCTAGGGAGGGCACGATGGAGCTCCGAACTGCTCCTAGGTTGAAAATCATGGGGCAGGGCGGGAGCAATGGAGACCCTGGGGGCGGCCTGAAGAGGGGCAGTCAGGAATGGGATCCTTAACTCTAAATCCTACCACCAGGCCTGCCCTTCCCTACCACCTGCCATGCCTCGGGAACTCAGCACTGTGGAGCCTTTGAGACTCTTCTCTGATTACCGTTTGGATGGGATTGGGAAGGATTGTTATACACCTGGGGCAGGCCCAGGTTCTACCAAACTAGGGATTGTGGGGGTGAGGAGAACCTATGTTAAAAAACGAAACAAAACAAAAAAACCTTGTGTGCTTGCAGGCTGGCAGGTATCCACGTGCAAGCATTGCTTATTTGTTGCCAATAGCATTGTGAAATAGACTGCTAAGCCATTTGATGATGGCTTAAGTGTGCTGTTTGGTGCTTCATCATGCTTGAGTTGTACTGAACCCACCTAGTTCCCGTTCGGGCCAGGTCACTGCTGGGTAGTGGCATTTTCCTCTCTCCACCCAGGTTGCCTGGTTCTCCTAGGCATATCCATAGACCCACTCTGAAAATAAAGTGACAAAGACAAGGGAAGGTATAGGACTTTGGAAGGAGAGCAGGAGTGAGACCCTCTGGAGTCTATAAAGGCTACCTGAGGAAGAAACTGGTCTGGAAGGAGAAAGTAGATGTGTTGGGTTCCTGCTTATCTCATGGTTGGGACAGTGGAGAGACACACAGTGGCATAGGAGTTGAGCCTGAAACTGAAACTGACTTCTCAGGCCATCAGACCCTCCCCAATGAAAAAACATTTGACTTAAGAGGCAGTCCAGAAGCCAGTGCTTGCTCAGCCAGAGGGTTTGAGGGTTGGGGATGAGGCTTTATGGGGTATGGTAGGAATGTTTGGAATAAAGGAAATTGCAAAGGAAGTGACATCTTTCCTTTTTTCTCCCTACTAGATCTACTTTCTCCCCCCATACTCTTCTCCCCCCCCCCGCCCCCTGTCTCTCTGTGTCTCTGTCTGTCTCTTTGTCTCTGTCTCTTCTTTCATTTTCCTCTGGTGCTTAAATTCAGGGCTTTGGTACTGTCCCTTAGCTTTTTCTGCTCATGGCTGGTACTTCTCAGATGATGTCCATGGCCATATTCATGACCAATCTGTACAATTAGCCCAGAATGTCCTCAGTTTTAGCACTAAAAATATCCAGTGCCCCCAGAAAATGAGATTGCTCACTTAAGTAGTTACCTTGCTATTACCTCAGGCTCTGCTTCAATGACTGCTCATGTCTCCAGAAAGAGGCCAAGAGAGGGAAGGAAACCTAGTCCTCAGAATAATGCCAGAAACACTAAAAGTGAGGTTGGAATGAGCTCTTGAACTAAGGAGGCAGGAAGGTGCCTAGTCCTTGGTGGGGGGAAACACTCTCAAAGGAGATGGGATTGGGAGCAGCTGGAGAGAGGAAGAGGGGCAACCAGTCAGGGACCCTGGTTGGCCCTGGAGCTCTGTGCCCAAACAGGCTTCTTCTTGCTCTAAGGTCAAGGTTCCCTAACTTCCGCTGTTATGTATTCCACACCCGGTGTGGTCAGAAAGCCCTTCCTCATTGTTGTCTTCAGTTCTTGCTGTGGTTTTCACCCTTCTTTTCATCATATCCTCTGCCTGACATGTACTGGGCTAACCCTGCTCAGGCTTTTCTCAATGCAGCGCATGTAGGAAAGCACTGAAAGCATGGGAATGCCAGGGGTCTCTCAGTGTCACAGATGGTCTCTTTCCATGTTTCTGGATTCTTCTTGTGGCAAGACTGCTGTGAAGTAGCAATGTCTCCACACCCTCACTTCTGTTCCTCATGCTCTGCCCAGCTTAGCTCACCTCTACCTTTTCTCTGACAAAGGTGGAATTGGACCACCCTAAGACTGTGGAAATGTAGGAAATAAGTGGTAAGTACCAATTACTTGCTGAGCACTGATTTCTCAAATTTAGCCTTGGCAAAATAACCACACAGTTGCCACAAGACAAATGGCTATGGGAAGGAGAAGAAACTGGCATTCTGTGAAATCAAGGAATTCACTTTGACTGTGGCCCCTGCCAGAGACAATGAGAACTGTTGACTTTGAATGAAACTAACTCTTCTAAATGAAGAAAGGGATGGAAAGTGCCAGGAGATGGCCCCTTTTCATAACCCAGATCATGACTTGAACGGAAGCCAAGAACAAGGTGCTGACCCATCAGTTTACTGACATACGATCTTTAAATCATGATAATACCACACTCATACCTAGACTCAAAACCTATTCATAGCTTCAAACTATACTTCCCATTAGTCTAAAAATCTATATTATGTGCAGCAACATTTTAAAGTGAAATATACAGACATTTTTTTGGATGCCAGTGTTCTAGCCTTTCAGTCTGAGCTTGTTTCCCTCTCTCACTATTATAGAATTCATTACTCTGTTCAATTCTCTAGTCTGGACCTGCATCTTGACACCACACCCCAGCCAACTCATTCCCTGCACCCCTCTTTCCTCTCTCATTGCCCCTTTCTGGGCATTTATCATTTAGCCCTACCCCTGAAGAGACCTACCTTTTGAGTTGCTTGATATGCAGATTATCCTCTTGGGGGTGAGGGTTTCAGCCCCACCTTCAGGAAGACAGACTTCCCCCTCCAATGCTCTGTGGTACTTCCTCTCTGGCTGATTTAGCTGATAGCACCCAGACCTGAGGCAGAGCCCCTGGAACCGGGACACCTCCAGGGATCGATGACATTTGCTCTCACCTGAGAATTATCAGCTTCCAATCAGTACCTTGGTACTTGTAAGTATTTAGGACCGTGTGTGTGTGTGTGTGTGTGTGTGTGTGTGTGTGTGTGTGTGTGTGTAGAAGGCAGATGCAGCCAGGAGAGATGTAAAAAAAAATCTCCAAAGAAAGCCCACCAGTGTAAAAGGAGTTGAGAAGATTTATCCTCAACATCTAGCCATGAACTCCTCTTTATCCTTGTAATTCATGGTGTACCTTGGTAATCTCCAGGGAGAGCAACTAGGTGATTGGTTGGGAAAAGTTAATTAGGTTGAAGACCAGAAAGCCTGACAGGAAGCAAGGATTGAGCTAGTCATTCAAGGAGTGCAGCACTGGTTGATGAAAGCTCCCAGTTAGTTCTGGTTTCATGGTGTCCTAAGGGAAAGAGACTTAAAAAGATCTGGAAATGGGTGCTGTCACTGTTGTTGTTGCTGCTGTATATTTTGCAATTGGGTCTTTGGGCAGGAAGGAGCCCCTGGACCAGTTAGGAAATGAGTCTTTCTGCTCCACCAGATCTCCTTAAGACAGGTCAGTTGGCAGTGAAGCAGCAGTATATGTTGGAGGCTTCTAGTGCTCGTCATAGACATAATATTCATGGTGTGTCCATGGGTGCCAGGTAACCTTTGGCTATTTTCATTCATGTATCCACCCTCCCTTCCCAGGTCTCTGAGATGGCCACGAATGCTACGTCTTCTGCAGCATCCTTCTCTGTAGGTGTCAGATTCGTGTCTCTGTTGGCTATTGTCCTGTTGTCAGTGGCGCTGGCGGTGGGGCTCCCTGGCAACAGCTTCGTGGTATGGAGCATTCTGAGAAGGATGCGCAAGCTCTCTGTCACGGCCTTGCTCGTGCTGAACCTAGCACTGGCTGACCTGGCCGTATTGCTCACGGCTCCTTTTTTCCTGCATTCCTTGACCCATGGCTCCTGGAGGTTCAAATTGGCTGGCTGCCTCCTGTGCCACTACGTCTGTGGAGTCAGCATGTATGCCAGCGTCCTGCTGATCACCGCCATGAGTCTGGACCGCTCGCTGGCAGTCGCCCGTCCCTTTGTGTCCCAGAAGGTGCGCACCAAGGCGGTTGTCCGGTGGGTGCTGGCGGGGATCTGGCTGGTGTCCTTTTTGCTGGCCACACCGGTCCTCAGGTACCGCACAGTAAGCTTTGGATTGAACAACAAGAGTCTGGCTTGCTTTCCCAAGTACCCCAGCCATGGGCACAGAGCCTTCCACCTGCTCTTCGAGGCCTTCACCGGCTTCCTGCTGCCCTTCGTGGCGGTGGTGGCCAGTTACTCCGACATCGGGCGCAGGCTGCAGGCGCGGCGCTTCCGCCGCAGTCGCCGAACTGGCCGTCTGGTGGTGCTCATCATCGTGGCCTTCGCCGCTTTCTGGCTGCCCTATCACATGGTGAACCTGGCCGAGGCGGGCCGCGCGCTGGCCGGCCTGGGTCCGAGGTCCGGGCCGGTGGGGATGCGGCTGACGCTGGCCCGCAACGTGCTCATCGCGCTGGCCTTCCTGAGCAGCAGCGTGAACCCGGTGCTGTATGCATGTGCCGGCGGCGGCCTGCTGCGCTCCGCTGGGGTGGGCTTCGTCGCCAAGCTGCTGGAGGGCACCGGCTCCGAGATCTACAGCACTCGCCGTGGGGGATCCCTGGCCCAGACTGTGAAGAGCACCCCTGTCCCTCCAGAGCCGGACACCACCGAGAGCCTCACGGCGTCCTCCAACTCCCTGAAGAAAAACCAACTGATCTAGACCAGGTGGAAGGATGCGCGTTCTCCTCCTCCGGGCAAGGCCCCACGCTTGCCTGACCCAATTCTGCACCCAGAAGAGGAGGAGAACCTGCAGTGTGGGGAGATGTGGGGGACAGGGTGGAGCCAAAGCAGAGGAAGGGCTGGGCGAGTCAGCACATTGCGAGAGCATGGTCAGGCCTTGTTCCTGGGGTAGCTTTGCAATTAAAACCGAAGTCTGAAATTGGATCAGTCCTGTGAGGTGTGTGTTATGGGGCTTTGGGGTGCTCGTGGACACCTTGGTGGGTTCCCACTGAACAGCTGAGAGCTAAGTCCTTTAGATACCTATGAGTGACAATTTTGGAAAGGACACCAGGGCAGGATAGATGACACCTTCCCCCTTTCCCATCCTTTCGAGTGATTTTGCAATTGGTGATCTATTGATCCCACTTGGAAAGCACACATCCCACAGATTCCTAGAAAAGACGGTCAAGGGAGACCACCCATGTGGTCACTCTAGATTGGTGACTCAAAGGACTTTCACAGAAGATAGTGTGTCTTCCCTGAAGTCTGTGGTTAAGTACCCTTGTCAGTCTGACTCATCTTCCTGTAATCTCCATCTTCTTAGCTGATGTTCTCCATTGTCTCCCTTCTCACCACCTGCCAACCAGGTCTCAGTTGAGACCACATCTCACTTGAGACCCACCTCTACCCAGAATTCTCTACATCTGCATCTGCCAGCCCCCATAAAACATTCTAGTGCAGGCTGACCATGGTCAACCTCAGGAAATAAGGTTTCTCAAAGGTGAGAAGTAGTGGGGTTCAAATGGCTCATCCTAGCTACTCAGGAGGCTGAGATCTGAGGATCATGTTCAAAGCCAGTGTGGACAGGAAAGGCCGTGAAACTCTTATCTGAAGTGGAACAGCACTAGCCTTGAGAGAAAAAGACAAGGGAGAACTTGAGGCCTTGAGTTCAAGTCCTCGTACTGGCACCAAAATAAACAAACAAGCAAACAATATTGGCACCAAAATAAATAATTTTTTAAAAAGTGAGATGGATGAACCATTACTTCCTAGGGGTGACTACTGCTGTTTTAGATAACCTATCTTTGTTCTGACAATATTTTAGGAAGATGATCAAGGAAGTCACTCTTCTATTGAAGGCAAGGAGAAAGTGATTCCTAGCACTTCACAACTTCTGATCTCCACTATGTGCAGACATTCTATAATCAGGTTTTTTTTTTTTTTTTTTTTTATTAAGGATCTTAGAAGAGCATGGAGTTTCAGCCTAGGGTGGCTGAGGGAGGTCCAGTTCGTGTCAAATCTGTGTTCAGGAAGTAGGTGCAGAGCTGCCCTTTGCCTTTGACCTTGATGATGCCTCGTCTGTAGCATGTATAACCCAGGGACTGTAGTGCCTGGGCTGTCTCCTCAGTTACCTGCAATTGGAGGAGTGTGAGGGGACATGGGGGCCCTTATCCTTTATCCCCCTCCCTCAGGCCTCCAATATGTTTCCCCTCACTTGGATCTTGCCAAGGACTCCTGTACTTTCCATGCGGCTGGCCACATTCACGGTATTGCCCCAGATGTCATATTGTGGCTTCTGGGCCCCAATTACTCCAGCTACTACTGGTCCATGATTCAATCCTGATAAGGAATAATAAAGAGGGGCTCTGATAGGAGTCACTTTAGAGAAGTAAAGAGGGGAAGAGGAAGGTAAAGGGTTGGAGAGAAGAAGGAGCCTTAAAGGCAAGTGGTCTTGAACTAGAGGAATAGGCTTTAGGGAATAGTGGGTGTAAGCCACTTAGTCCCCTGCAGTTTCATTTTTTTTTCTTTTTTTGTTGGATGTGGGGCCTGAACTCTGGGCCTGGGCGCTGTCCCTCAGCTCTTCAGCTCAAGGCTAGTGCTCTACCACTTGAGCCACCTTCCCAGATTCCAGTTTCATTTCTTACACAAGGGATTAAGTCTGGAGAGGAGCTCCAAGGATGAGTTGTGGAGCAATTAATAAAGAATTGGAGTGGGGAAGGAACTACTACATTGTCCCAGCAACGGTTGGGGGTAGGCTCACCTACACGCAGGTGAAAGTTGTTGAATGAGTGCTTGTTGATGACATCTAGCTTAGACCCCAAGGCCACTGCAAATTCTACCATGGTGCCAAGATGGCTGCAGCTTCGCTCAGCATCCTAGGAATAGTCCATCCACCAGAATGAGCCAATGAGGAATAAGTCCCACTTATGGGCCCAGCAGTGAGAGCCCACAGGAGGGTTTGTAGGTAAGGAAAGGTTGCTGTACCTGTTGTGCATCCTGTCCAGAGGTAGCATTTAATCCTGTGGCTGCCATGTAAGTACTGCCGATAGTTTTGATCTTCTCTACACCACTAAATTTGGGTTTGGAGAGCAGCTGTACAGAGAGAGGTTGTGTTTCTAGTCCTTCTTGCTCTCTCCTTCCCCTTTCCAAGAAGGCTGGCCCTAGGCCTTTGGAAGCTAAAAGACCAGGCTGTGGGTTTGAGGATGGTAGCAGGAAGGAGAGAGTTGGTAGTGGGAAAGTGGGAAATGTCACTGAAGAGGATAGAGCTGGGACATTAGAGGAGGGAGTGTGTTGGGGTTTGGGGACAGGTTTGGTCTCATGCTAGGAAAGCAAAATGAGAGGTGGCAGTGGTGGAAAGTTCTAGAATTCAGGACATAACATTGAGGAATTCTTGAAGTTACCTCATCAAAATCAGCAATTATTTCATTGAGCAGCCGCAGGCACTCTAGCCCTTCATGGTTTATGTTGGATTCAGAATAAAATTCCTTAAAGTCTGGGACCGAGGCGAAGAGAACACAAACACATTCGTAGGACTGATGGTAGAGGTCCTGTGTGGAGTAGAAGGCTGGTGTGAGGAGTGTATGACATGTCCTTCTCCTTCCTGGGTTGGCATGTCCCACCCCCACACTCCTAGTCATTCTGGGTTTTGTTGTTGAGACAAGGTCTTACTATGTAGACTAAGTTGGCCTCACATGCTAGAGTTATAGGTATGGATCACCATGCCAGGCTTTTTTTTTTTTTAGGAAGGATTAGAAAGGAAAGAGATGGACAGGGCCAATTTACACCAGGGATATGACTTCAAAGTCAAACATGTGATTTTTTTTCTGATTCCATGAGACAGAGATTTGTGGTCAGGCTATGTGAAGGGATGTACTCCTAAAATTGTGATCGTGCCAGTGGAAATTGTTTTTGTATCTTATTGGTAAAAACATTAAGTCAGTTAAGTCAGCTTACAAATGTTCCTACTATCTGGAAGATAAAATAAATAGCAGTAAGAAAAACAAGAGTAAAAGGGAAAGAATGGAATCAGATCTGAGGTAGTTAGCAAAATGATGCTATGAAATTTTTGTTAGTCCTAGATTCTGGCTCTTAGCTTTCTAATATCCAATGTAAAGAGAGAAACCAATCAGGTTTAAGATTCAATCTCCGCAGGAGAAGAAACTGGAAGTAGAACTTCTTCTGATCTTGAGAGCAGAAAGGGGGTGATGGAGATATAGGTCACTGACATAGCTCCTGAGTTGTCTTCTTTACATCCTCCAGAATTTCCATAGCAAAGAGGGCCAGACAATGGTGGCACAAAAAAGATGGTCATCTGACTATAGCAAAATTTTTGAGTCTCTAGAGCAGCAGCATCCACTAGGAATTTCTGCAGTTATGGAAACATTCTATAGTTGTATTGTCCAACATAGTGGCCACTAGCCATATATGGCTGCTTGAGCTCTTAAAATGCAGCTGGTGCAACTGAAGAACTAAAATCTTAAGTTTGCATTTATTTACAGTAAATTTGAATTACCACACGTGGCTAGTGGCTACCACATTGGACAGTGCTGGGCTAGAGAGATGGGTGGACTGTATCCTCCACATCATATCCATCAACACCTGACTAAGCTTCTGAAAGTGACGGAGCAGCATAAGTTGGAAAAGATGCTCCTCCTAAGTGAGAACATGAAGTGCAGAGGTTCCATGCTCCTCAAAGAGAAAAACCAAGATCTTTGGAAACTGGAGGTCTGTGCCAAGGGCCAAGGCCTTGTGTGACTGTTTGGTCCACGGTAGGCAATCCAGAGTGGACAGGCCCAGGGCAAAGACTTTCATCAATACTTAATCCCTCTGGTATCTGGAACTCAGGATTCAGGAATCACCTCGTTGCGTCGATTCTGGCCTATGAACTGGGGGGCCACATGTGCAGGGAGCACATTCTCCAAGAGTAGCCGGGTAAGGTTCTCCATTGTCTCTGTTTCCTCCCGCTCCTGCCTCAGCTTCTTCTTCCACAGGAAGTCCAGGCGACAGTAATATTCATTCTAGAGAAGGTTAACAGGGGGGCTTGGGAGACAGCGCTGGAGTAACTACAGCAATAATGCCTGAAAGTAGTATGCTTAGGGATAAGTGCAACTGTCCTCAGAGAGACTACCTTGAAACTTGATTCAAAGGAGAATATATAAAACTGGCAGTAGAATTTTCCTCAAGCATGGCCTTTCCCAGATTTGGGGGTAGGAGGAAGAAAGGGAAGACCAGGAGATCTGGAGGAACTTGGGGGATGAGGAAACAAGAAAAGAGCAGTAAGGCCCTCTGAAAAACTTCCAATGGCAAAACACTTGGGCTCAACCCAAGACGAGAGAGACCAAGTCACCAATATGGGGACCTCAAGCTCACCATTCACAGGGAGATTCTGGAGGGCTGAGCTAGGTGACTTACCTGCCGAGCCAGAACAAGGAGGGTGAAGAAAAAGATGAAGAAGGAGATAGCTCCCATCAGTTTGGGCTCCTTCAGCACTCCTGGCCTGAGGAGGTCACTGGTCAGGATTATCCTTTGCTCTACCTCTTCCTTATGGCCTCTTCCCTTCCCCCAGTGCCCATAGACTCCCAACCCCTCCTCCTTGGCCTGGTGGGTGGTTCAGCTCTGCTGTAGCCCACCCTACCCTATCTCTGAGGGGCCTGAACACCTCTGCCTTGTGGCTTGTGCTCACCTTGAATCCAAAGGACCTCGGTAAAGGCAGGCGATGAGGCAGTCGGACAGCCAGGCATGAGAGTGCAGGAAGATGGAGCAGGAGGCTGCCAGCCACAGCAGGAGCAGCAGGAGCTTCAGTTCAAAGCTCATGTGCAGGAAGAGGGAGCAGGAGAGGAAACCCAGAACGCAGCAGTGCATGGAGTACTGTGGAGACAGGTGAGATAGGTCAGGAATAGCTATGTCCCATAGGAAGGGCAGGAG